TTGGGTATGTTGTGTTCACATTCTCATTGAATTCTAGGAATTCTTTCATTTCTTTTTGTTTCTGATGACCTAGGAATTGTGCAATTTGGTTTTACTTAATTTCCATGAGTTTGTAGGTTTTCTGCAATTCGTGTTGTTGAATTCTAACTTTATAGCATGGTGGTCTGATAAGATCCAGGTGATTATTTTAATTTTTTGTACCTGTTGAGGTTTGCTATGTTGCCAAGTTGTGTTCAATTTTAAAGAAGGATCCATTTGGTGCTGAGAAGAAGGTATATTGTTTTGTATTCAGATGGAATGTTCTATAGATGTTTGTTAAGTGCTATTATGCTATAACTTCTATTAGTTCCTTTGTTTCTTTGTTAAGTTTCTGTCTGGTGTTCCTGTCCAGGGGAGACAGTGGGGTGTTGAAGTCTCCCACTGTAAGTGTGGGCAGTTTTATGTGTGATTTGAGTTTTATTAATGTTTCATTTACCAACATGGATGCCTTTGTATTTGGTACATAAATGTTCAGAAATGAGACTTCATCCTGATGGATTTCTCCTGTGATGAGTAGGAAGTGACCTCCTTCATCTCTTTTGATTGATTTTAGTTTAAAGTCCAATTTGTTGGATATTGTAATTGCTATCCCCATTTGTTTCATGGGTCCATTTGACTGGAAAATCTTTTCCCAAACTTTAATACTTAGTTAGCATCTGTCTCTGAAATTTATTTCTTGCATGCAGCAGAATGTTGGATTCTGTTTTGTTATCCATTCTACTAACCTGTGTCTTTTTATGGGTGAATTAAGACCATTACTATTGAGGGATATTAATGACCATTGATTGTTCATTCTCATTTGCTTTGGATTTGGTGGTGGTGGTGAAATAGTGCGTGGGTTTCCATCCCTTTTTTCTTTCTTCTGTTAGTAAAGTGGGATTATATATTGCTTATATTTTCTGGCTGTAGTTAACTTCCTTGTGTTGCAGTTTTCATTCCAGAAATTTATGTAGGACTGGGTTGGTGGATATGTATTGTTTGAATCTGGCTTTGTCATAGAATATCTTTTTTTCCATCTATATAGATTATAGTAGTCTGGGCTGACATCAGTGGTCTCTTAATGTAAGTAGAATATCTATCAAGGAACTTCTGG